AGAGAGGAAGAAAGGAAAAGAAAGAGAGGAAGAAGAGGAAATGAGGAAACGGAAGAGAAGTGGTGATATATATAAGACTTATACGGACCGAAATCGGTCCGTATAATCCTCATTGGCGCGCCGCACCAAAAATTTTCAATTTTTTCAGAAAAATTTCAATTTTTTCAGAAAAATTTCAATTTTTTCTGAAAAATTTCAATTTATTCGGGAAAATTTTTGGCGCATTAATCATATTCAAACCGAAATCGGTCTGAATATAAATAAATTAGCGCAGAATCAATAAGATTCAAATTAACGGTAAAAATTTGGCGCATAAATTAATTACGGACTGATTTCGGTCCGAATATATTCGTAAAAAATCTTCCAGTGCACATTTTTATTCTTTTCATTTAAGGACATTACCATCTTCTCGTGTTCTAAATTCATTCCTGCGAAAACCAATTGCATGTACATCGACCCTACAGTCCCTCGGAATCACAAAACCATCGATTGTCTAACTGAAATTATCTTTCGATACTACGGAGTAATATCATTGCAAAACCACGAACGTATAAGTTAAAGGTTATTAGAGATAATGTTACATAATGCTCTTTCGGAGTAATAAGCAAATAAAATTCATTTTTTTTTCTTAAGGTTAACCACTTTGGCTTGCAAACATTCGGAATGTTACGGTTTAAAACAAGTGTAGAACGACTTAAGCATGAAATAACAAAAAAAATAAAAGCTGTTGTTCATTGGAATATACGGACCGATCCCGGTCCGTATATAGATATACAGACCGGGATCGGTCCGAATATAGGCAATTCGTGGGATTTTTTTATCTTAAAGCTAAATTAAATTAAGTATGAATATATACGGATAGGTATTGGTCTGAATATATGCAAAGAATCCAGATGCTTCCATGCTTTTCATTTTTCAGACCGATATTGGTCCGAATATAGTACAAAAAATCCAGAAACTTCTTCCAGTGCACATTTTTATTCTTTTCAGTTAAGGACATTACCATCTTCTCGTGTTCTAAATCCATTCCTGCGAAAACCAATTGCATGTACATCGACCCTACAGTCCCTTGGAACCACAAAACCATCGATTGTCAAGCTGAAATTATCTTACGATATTACGGAGTAATATCGTTGCAAAACCACGAACGTATAAATTAAAGGTTATTAGAGATAATGTTACGTAATGCTCTTTCGGAGTAATAAGCAAATAAAATTCATTTTTTTTCTTAAG